TCACACATTGGTGGAGTTATCCTATCTCCTTTATTTCTTTTAATCTGGAAGAGTTTCTTAGCCTTTTTTGATTTTCTTAAATTTTACATTTTTTAAATGTCATTGGTCTATGATTTTTCTATAGATCAAATACTCTTTTTCTTTTCTCCCTTCCCTCCCTCCCTCCCTTCCGTCCTTCCTTCTTTCAACAGAGCCTCAAGCTGTTGCCGTCGGTACAGTGCCATGGCATCACAGCAACCTCCAATTTCTGGGCTTAAGCAATTCTTTGGCCTCAGCCTCCCAGTAGCTGGGACTACAGGCACCCACCACAACACCTGGCAATTTTTAGTTGTCATTGTTGTTTGGCAGGCCTGGGCTGGACTCGAACCTGGCAGTCAGGTGTATGTGACTGGAGCCTTAGCTGCTTGAGCCATAGGCGCCAAGCCTAAAACAAGTTTTAAAACCACTGAGTAGTCTGGCATCCGCATCTTGCAGAAAAGCAAACTGAGGCTGTCTGAGGATAACCAGCATCAGCAGGCTTATTAGTGGCAGAGATCAGCCTAAAACCCTGGCCCTCTGATGCCCAGTTCAGTATCTTTCCCCTACACAAATTTGCTTTACATAATGGTGGAAAATCAGGTGCCTGTGGAGCATGTCTGGTAAAAATGTCTCTGATGGAAAAGAGGTACATGGCCCTCCATGCTCCGAATCAAATTTCCATCCTGATTCCGGAAATTTATAAATTGAGCCTATGAATGAGTATTTAGATAGAAAGACCAATTTAAAAAAAAAATAGAAAGATTAGGTGATTGGACATGTCAGTCTCTCATTGGCATGTTAAAATAATTTCATCCATCCGGAGATATTACTATTTCTAACAAATGTACCAGTAAAGTTTTCAGTGTAATTTCTAAGCCCCCTAGGAGTTATTTTTGTTAATTGACAGAATGTCAAAGACTTTTCTTTTTTCTTCTTTTTTTTTTTTTTTTTTTTTTGACATAGAGCCTCACTCTATCACCCTGGTTATAGAGTGCTATGGTGTCATACCTCACAGCAACCTCAAACTGTTGGGCTCAAGTGATTCTCTGACCTCAGCCTCCCAAGTAACTGGAACTACAGGCATGCACCACTATGCCCAATAAGTTTTTTTAGTAGAGATAGAGTCTCACTCTTGCTCAAGCTGATCTCAAACTCCTGAGCTCAAGTGATCTACCTGCCTCAGCCTCCCAGAGTGCTGGGATTACAGGCATGAGCCACTGTTCCCAGCCCTCCTTTTCCATTCTTATGAAATAATCATTTTACTATGGTACTGTTTTCCATTTTTCCCATTAAAACTTAAAATGGTCGGACATAGGGAGGTGGTCAACATGAGGAACTACCCTACTGCACTGATATATACATGTGGTGCATGTCTGGTCTATGGAGAGTAAATCTACTTGAGGAGGTGGTCAACCATGAAGGTTCTGCTTTATTTTATTTATTTATTTATTTATTTATTTATTTATTTATTTATTTTGAGACAGAGCCTCAAGCTATCCCCCTGGGTAGAGTGCTGTGGCATCACAGCTCACAGCAACCTCCAACTCCTGGGCTCAAGCAAGTCTCCTG